CCCCAAAACCCCAAAACCCCAAAACCCCAAAACCCCAAAACCCCTTTGAAGTAGAGGCAAGTTGAAATAAAGAAATAAACTTAACTTCGATCGCCAAATAGAGCTAGAATATATACGAAAATCATTGCTAGATCAAGGTATAGCTGGATACTTGCAAACACATATTCATCATAGTCAAGTCCATATTTCTCAGTTATCATATCGATATCAATAACAACATAGATTGCTGCAACGACTAATCCAACGACAGATACTAAGATTACAACCCATCTGGAAGATGCAAAGATAAGGAATGGGATCATCGCGAAAGATAAAACTATTGCTACAGTCAGCATTGCACAGACAGTCTTTACTGATCTCTTTGTTGATAGTGCGATCACAACAAGGGTTGTGAACATCACTAAAGCAAGGAAAGCTGAAATAAAGACATCTTTTGCATCATAGAAAGAGGTAATCGTTGCTAACATTATTGATTCAAAGACTGTAAAAAGAGTCAATGCAATATAATTATATGGAACTTTTCTTCCTATTGACCTAAAGCAAGCAACAGCACAGATAACCACAATAGTTAACGCAAGTGCAGTGAAGTAAACCCATATATTATCTTGGAGATATTTCTTGACATTCTTATTCATCCATATCCCAGTAATGATAACCACAGTTAGGAGTACTTGTAATGCCAAGATACTTAGTACTTTTATTAAAAAGTTTTGTCTGTCATCCTCCCCTCTCAACTTCTTAAATGCATCTAAAAATTTTCCATCATTCTCTCTTTCATTTTCATCAGCTTCCAAATTTCCAAGGACATACTGGTCAGGTTTCTGAGGATACGGGTCATTATTAAATGTATCATAGCCAGGCCCAGTGCCTCCCTCAGCCGGCAAATAATTAGTTGTATTATGATAAGGTTGATGGATCTCTAAAAAATTACTCAAGATCTTACTTCTCCCTTCCAATTCAGCTGCTATCACAGGGTCATCCATATCTATCTTGTCAATTTGGTCACTTGAGGCTTTTTCCATGATAAAATCTTTGAAATTATTTATATAAAAGTTCTAAAAATTTCTGATAAAATTTCAATAATTTCATAAAAATAAGGGGTTTTGGGGTTTTGGGGTTTTGGGGTTTTGGGG